ATGGTGTTTTAATAAGTCAAAACCTGTAACTTCAGGTATAGTGGTCACAGGTGTGCAAATTCAGTCATCACATTTGACACTGTGTCACTGTGGGTTGCAAGTTGTATTTTGAGGGAAGGCCAGGGCATCTGCCAGCAGACACGAGGCAACTGTTAGAGCTAAAAGGACAATAAGCAGCCCCCACAGAAGGGGGGACCTCAATCACTGGACCAAAGGCAAACACGGTTTCTAAGAAAAGCATGAATCCAAAAAATGCCCTAGCAGGAGGCCTGGAACATCCCACAGGGCAAACTGAACCTTGTATTCCTGTTTTACTGTCTGTCATAAGCAGCAAGAGTGGTGTTCATCAGCAGAGGAGCTCAAGTTAATGGTCTCTTGTAAATTTTAGTACTTGCAGAAAGGTTTAATGAGAATTTTTGAACCTACAAAGTGGGAATATAAGCTAAAAACATGGCAACGTTATATTTTTGAAGCCTGACATTCTTTTGGTGCATGGTGGGGGTGATAGATTGCAACTAACAACAGCAACTGCAAGCCCTCTCCTACAGCTGTGCTGGTCACAAATAAGGGTCTGAGCAGGGCAGGAAAACCAATGTCACGAACACCAAAGGAAGCTGAAGCAGCCTCCACCTGGAGATTCCTTTTCCAGGTTCCTCTCTATGCTCATGGGTTTGCTTTGCAGATCCTCAGTGCCAGATCTCTTCCTTCCCCCTGGAATTAGCAAAGCTCTACCTCATCACTGACAGAGAAGAAAATCCAGCTGGCAGTTCCTTGTCATTTCTTGCAGGGTGCTGCTTCCCCTCCCCTTGAACAAGCTTCTGTGCCTACCAGTTTTATCACCATATTGCAACATCACTCTCACATATGGAGGAGTGCTCAGGGGCACTCTGCACACAGAGCTTCCACCTGGAGCCACAGAAACAGAAAAGTCAGAGTTCAGTCAAAATTTTATCTGGCATAAACCCGCACCACAGGGAAGACACCGCCTCCCCTTGCCCACTCGTGGTACTCTCTGCACCATTGCAAGCTTCTTTCCCACTCGACAAATAGGGTGAGTGAACTCATCCAGGCTAAAACACAGTGCTTTGCTTCTTTCCCCAATGTACTTGTAACTTCTCCTTAACAACTGCCTTCTTCAAGGAAAAAGAATATATCCAGCTGGTTTCTTTCAGTACAGAGAAGAGCCGGTACTCACCTCTGTATCTAGAAGTGGTTGTTTAATAATCTAAATCCAGGCAACTATCCTAACACCTACATAAATCAATGGCAGATGTGATGAAAACCTTATAAGCAGCTGAGAAGGAACTACTAGGAAAAAGAGTTTTGCTTGGGAACTTGTGAAGTGTTTTCCACTAGTAAGTCTCAGGTGCTGGTGCTTTTGAGTTTATATCTGCATCACAATTTACAGATTTTGAGGTATAGCTCTCCATGACTGACTTTTGACAGCACTTTACCAGCAGCTTTTCTGGCATCTGTGGGCTAAACCTTGCTTTGAAAGGACTCTTCTTCCTCTGGATACTCTGATATGACCATATGTGCCAAAGGAGCTAATGTGTCAACTTAAAAATCTCAGAGAAGAAAGAGCAGCAAGGGTACTGCTGGCTCTGATTCTTCAATGAGTGTCCCAAAAATAGCTCCTTAATACAAATTCACAATTTCCTCCCACAGAGAATGGCTAATACTTCACTTTTTCCATCCTCCACCAGCCATCCCTGTACAAATGATGCTTTCCAAGGCCGTTCCCCATGCACTGAACACAGCTGTGGCACCTAAACATTGCCTGAAAGGGTAACAATAATTACTAAGCTGCGGCAGAGACAAGTCTGGCTTGCTCATTTTCTTGCCCTTGCTGTGAAGAAATCTTATTTTATATGTCCACTACCACAGCTGGATTTTTCAGCCTGCAGACAGCTTGTCTGCCTGGCCTAACTCACGTACTCCTGGCCAGGGTTTCATCTCACCTTATCAGTGTATTCAGCATTTGTTAGATCCTGACAACCCAGGCCTCTCCCTCACTGCTTCCCAGGATCCCTTTGTTCCTGTCATTATCTAGTGTTGCCTTTTATCCTTCATGCTCTTTCTTTTCACTATCATTCCTCACCACACACCTTGAGGAGGACAAGTTTCCTGGAAGAAGGCTTATGGAAAAGGTCTTGCCTCACTATCTGAGCAAGTAAGGGAGCCAGGAGCTATTTACACATTTTCTGATAAGGAGTGAGAATGTCCTGATGTTACTGTGAAGTCCACAAGGAATTGGCTTTGTGCTGTTCTGCATTTCTTGCTTGTCTGTGCTTGTCCAATTCTAATCAACTAACAGTATTAAACATATTTTACATACTGTTATAATATTATTTGGAGGAAAGAGCAGTATCATAGTCTTGAATTTAGTCATTAAAGAGGTGATATTGGCAATACTTAGCATTTAAAAATCATGCAAAGCATGACTTTTTCTTATTAATTAGCAGTTAATTTCTGCCTGATATATTATGTTACAGCTGCATCTCATTTCTAATTTGCAACCATTAGGGTAAATATTGTATTTTATTATATATTACTAATTTAAATTGTTTACTTTTTTATAAGGACTATAAGTGGGGGTCTTGGTTTTTTTACAGTTGACATTTTCATTTCTTAGCTTAACTTTAAAGATCTGGAATCTTACAAGAAAACCCCAAAACAGCCAATATCCCCCTCACATACACACATAGAGCAGAAGATGTGTTAAGACTAGTGCCTGGCAATACCACCAAGAGCTCTCCCTGCCCTGGCACGGGGTAACTGTAGGAGTAGGGGTGCTCAGCATTTTGCTTTCACTGTGGGAAGAGGAGAAGCAGCCAAGAACTCCCTGTTCACATATACAGCAGCAGCACAGCAGCAATCCCCAGGTAGTGAGCAGCACTGTAGGAAGCCTGAGGAGTAAATCATGAGCTGACCCAGGCTGAGCAAAGGGAAGGAGGTGGTAGGATGAGAGGCAGAGCCACTCCCCAGGGCTGCTGGATCTGCAGTCTCTTCTGGTAGTTGCAAGTCCCGGGTGAGGAAATGCATGGCAAAACCGGTCCATTACTCTCCAACATTTCCTTTTCAGTATGTGATCTTTGCCTGTTATGAACACAGCAGATTCCTGAGTGTTTCTTGCTCTGTCACTAAGAAGTAAGAAAGTAAGACAAGGCTATAAGATGACTGACTACCAGCAGAGAAGTTTGCTGTCAGCAATGTGCATGATCACTTCTGAAAATGCAGCTGAAACTCTCCTGGAGGCAGATCCTGAGATTGTAACTGTTTTCACTTGGACCATATTCAAATCAGCCTGTGCTGACAACAAACAAAATAAAAAGTAAGCCAAGCCACAGTCTCGGAGAAGACGCAGGCAGCTGAGCAGAGAGCCTGTGACTGCCCCCACAGGGGCTCCGGCTGCTTTCAGGGCCCGTGGTATTGCTCTGGGGAGAACTCTTTTCTGCCCACTAATTCATTCTTTAATTTTTCATTAGATACTCGACCTGTTATGACTTTCAAAGTGCTTAATTCAAAGTTTCATCTTACTCACAGCACTTACCGAGCCCTAGAACTTAGCAAATACCTCTAACACACCTGCTTTGAACCTCAGTTTAGACTACCTAAAACTACCAGTTTGGTCAACTGAAGTTGGTTGGTCACCTTGACAGCCCCACCCATCCTGTCTCTGACATTCATCTATGGCAGCACCTGCTGCAAGTGGATTAAAGGAATATCTATTAATTGTGGGGCGTTTTAATTGTTACAGTCAAATCTTACCATGCACACAATTCCTGACTTTTGAGAAGGCTTTTCTACGTGCAGTTTGGGCACAACACATTACAGATACACCATTTGTGAAAAACCATCCACACAGGGGGCAATCAGAGGGCAGGCTTCCTGCCAAGGAGCAAATTCCATGATCCTGACCCAGATGAGCCTGACACTAACACAGCACCTTGATGACAGTAAACTAGAGGCCTAAAACACACAGCTCCACACATCATCTGCTGCTAACCAAATCTCAGTCCAGATATTTACATGTGAAAATCTAACTTAACTTGGTTTTTGAACAATTATACTCATTCTTGTTTTGGTAAGCTGCTGATGGAAACAGTGCAAGTTTCTGTGTGTGATACTTTATTCAGCTAAACATTATACTGAGCTGTTCCCTCATCTTGCTGTACCTGACTCCAGCAGTGTTGGAAGGGGAATGCAAAACTCCACAGAACAGGGCAAGGGCCTGAGAAAGTAGTGGGGCTTCCTCTACTACAGGGGCAGGAGATCAAGGAATAAATGAGGGAGAAAGAGGTACTGACAGAGAGACCTCAGAGATGGGTAAAGTTGCCAAAAGTGTTTCAGCACTGCTGGAAGGTGGATGCTTTCTTGCTGCCTATGCTGAAGGAAGAACCAGAACCAGAAACTATCTTCAATCCCTGGCATCAATCACTCCAGCTGCTCCCTGTGAAGAGTACCAGGGGTAGAGCCCCAAAGGCTAGAGCAGCCCAGCTGCCCACTTGGGGACCCTGGGGGACAGGCAGCAGGGCTGACAGATGCATGGAAGTCACATGAACTGTGCGGCTCCCAGGCAGGAGGAGCAAGTGCAGAGGAAAACAACATTTCAGTGCACTGGGTACTGCATAAGAGTATCATAAATAATCACCCCGGTGCCACGGACCCTGCAGTCTGAGAGGAAGCGTTGCACTCGCAGCCCTGTTAACAGCCTTGACCTTGAAATGGTCCCAAAAGCAGGGCTGCAGAGGGACGAAACAGCAAAACATTTGCAAGTGGCCGCATTCAGGCGGAAAGACACCCCTGCGGCACGTCTGACACGGGATCGCTGCACAATTCCGCGCCCAGCCAAGCGCGGCCCCTCCGGGAGGGCGGCTCACCCAGGGCCGTCTAGCGTGGCAGCTCACCTCTGGACGACCCGAGGCTCTGCCAAACAGCGCTGAGAGTCTGCAAACACCCTGCACTTGCACTGCAGAAAGCGCCAGACAACTTACTCACCTGTGAGCTCTCAGCGCGCAGTGCCCAGACTCTGCCAGGATCAGCATTTTCTTGAGGTAAAATGGCATTCGTCCTGACAGATGCTAACAAGACGCTTCCCTGGGAAAAAGCAAGGATGCTTGTGGGGTTTACTTTAAGAGAATCGTTGTCTGCAAAGTCACTGTAATGCTTTCTAGAGTCCATGGGATATTTTTGTAGTCATTCATTGTAAGATCTAGCAACTGCTACAAAATAGCAAGGGCTGCAATAACAGCATGACACATTAAGGATGGCTTTAATTACATACACAATATCTATGCAAATGCCAGATAGCATCTCCTGCATGAAAGACAGGGTTGGTTTGTTTGCTTCTTATCCTCACAGTATGGAATCTTAGTGCTTCTTACGATGCAATATTAATTTGGTTAGGCTTAATTTAATTACTTTGGTTGATAATTAAATTAACATATCTTCAATTAAAGTAACCGGTATCATCATGAAATATTTCTGTCATAGTGGCTCCTAAAATATCTCAGTCAGGACTAGATCCATATTGTTCAAGAGGCTGTGAAAAAAAAAAAATACACAAGAAAATAGGCCCAGAGAAACCCACCTGCCTTATAATGTCAGGAAGCCACTGCTGAATGGCAGGTGCCTGGCATCTCTGGAAACAGAGTACAGTACCTGTCTGGAACCACAAGCAAAAGTTTTCTCAATCACACCCTAGTTTGAATACCTTGGGCTGTGTGTCATGCCCGACATTCCACCAAAAACCACTAAAGCAGCGCTTGTTTCACTCCTTTCCTTTAGATGTTTCAGTCTGTTTGGTTAAACTTCAAGCACCAGAGTTTATAGTGATGACTGTCCCATATAACCCAAGTCACTGAGAGGTAAAGTAGCTTGGCCAAGATAGTGGTTACCAATACCAAAGTTACCAATACAATTTGAGCTTAGTCCTCTACTCTACAGGCCCTGTGGCACAGTCTTAATTTCTTATTTCTCCTGTATTAATTTATCAGTGAAGCTTGAGCCCGCTCTCTCCCTCACAGCTCTCAGGAAGAGACTGCTCCCAGACTCTCTCTTCCAACTGAATGGCAAGGGAAATATTCAGTGTGGGCCAGGAGAACACATATGGGACAGGGTGTTACAGAAGCAGTTGTAGACAGCAGTGGAATGCCAGCAAACAGGATCTTTGAGTCTAGCACCAGCTCTGGAGGCAGAGAGCAGCCTAAGTCATCATAAACAAGAGGCCCTATCATACCAGCCTGTAGATTTCTTTTGGAAAATGATAGGGCAAAGCAGATGAATCTCACTGCTTTATAGGCCACAGCTCCATTCCCAGCCCTGTACACAGCCCACGTGCTGCAGTGTATCTGCAAAACAGGTGAATGACCATTGCTGTCCTGCAGGAAGGATAACTGGCTTCTAGGAGTGGATGTGCTAACAGCAGCAGTGGAATATGTGGGATCAGACATCATGGACTTCTGGCCAGCAGTGAATGGCATTATGACTGACTTCTCCCCCTCCACTCCCTCTTCCCTGGTCATTATGTGGGCTGGCAGGAGACTTGCCAAATGTGTCAGAACCACATGAAATGCATGACACTTGTGACCCTGACCTTGTGGGCCCCCAGGCTGACTATCAAGTCTGAGGCACAGACCAATCCAAAAAGAAATGAGGAAGGTCCTACCCAGACCATAAAGGACCGCAGGACTGGTCTCAGGGTTTTGTTTACTCTGCAGTTTTTAAGTTGGAAACCACTCCTCCCGTAATAACAAGAAAGCTTTTGAATTCGGTGCTACATATAGCAATTCTCTTATATCTGTGAGCTGCATGGGCTTGTTGATGTCAATGCCCTGTAACCAAGAGCCTCCGCTATCACACACAAGTCCTCATTATGTTGCATAACAAATTACCTTTGTTGCCCAATAGAATGGAACAGTAGATTTTGTTGTTACCTCGTGTAAACTTTAGTCTTGCGAATTCCATTTTGCACTGACACAATTGCTTCTGCCTGACAAGTGCTTTATTTCTGTTGTTACGCAGCAAGCTCCATGATACACAGGCAGCCAGGGATCCTGAAAAACAAGTTCAGAAATACATAAATATGCCACCACTGTGTCTGCAAAACAATCGGCCACGTGGATCCCTACTGCTGCACAACACTGGGCTTAGAGGCTGCAGCTACACATCCTGGGAGGCAGCACTGCTGCAGATTCATCCCTCGTGGTCATCTGATGTTTTCAGCTACAAGAAAAAACAGTAGCATAAAGAAACAAAGAAAGTGGCAGAACAGCAAAGGAATTTTAAACCGACAAAGACTTCATGGTGTTGGCATTTTAATGTTATACTGTTGCCTTTCTAATGGATTTATCCGACTGCATTATGTTACCTCTTGTTTTCAGTGTTTAAGTACTGTTCCTAACTAAATAGTATTAGTTACAATGTTCATCTATTAAAGAACAAAGTGTGAAAAAGGTTAACAAACTCATCCATACGATTACAAAATGCTAAACCTCACTAGACACTTCTGAGTCTTCTTTATATATGTTCGGCACATATTTCAGGGAAATGAAAACATTTGTTTTCAGGCTGCAAACAGTGTTTCCTTTCTTAAAACGTTTTAGTTGGCAGCTTTTTGTATTGGCATATGACCAATACTCTGGATAAGTGGGAAAATAGTGGTGATATCTACAGGCCAAATTTTGCACTTCTTAAAATGAGTAATGCTATCTTATTTTCATATATGCCGGCCATGCCCGCTACTCAGAGCACTACTGGAAGCTCACTGATTGCTGCTCCCTACTTTCTCTGGATAAAATCCAAAGAGGAAGAAAATCCAGTCATTACAAAAGTAAACTTCAATAAAGTCTGAGAGCTGGCCTGTTGGGACAACCCTAAATAAAAGTAACAAAATCTGGATGCTAGCTTATTTAAAGACGCACATGTTTTGATTTCCCCTCCTACTCCTTTGAGAAATGCATGTTTCAACCTCCAACACACACTCATCTCTGCTGTACTCTCCACATTGTACAGCTGCTTTTAAATTGAACCTGCTTTTTCATCAGTTCTCCTGTCATTCCCACTGCTCAGCTCATCTCCTACACGGCCAAGCAACAGTCATCAAATAAATCATTGGAGACACTGTTGGACAATGGGTGAATGAGTTACTGCTGAGGGATTGGGGTTTGCCTCTATTTACTGGCTGTAGTTAGAAACACTTCAAGCCAAATTTCAATTACAGGGGATAAAATAAAGGCCAGCCCAGTCTGGGCATTTTAAGACATAATTGTACTTGGGTAAAGCACTAAGGCATGGTTGTTTCCAGACAGTGCTGCTCACAGTTAATGGTGCCAAGCTGAAATCTACCTGGGTATTACTGCAAACAGCTTTGGAAAGCCTTCATGGGAATGCATATGGTCAGTGAAGGCAACAAGGTGCCTGGATGCTTGAGGTATAGGACAGTGAAACAAAAGAATCTTTGTAGAAACCTGAGATATGTGAGTGCTGTACAGCTGTAATTATGTGAAACTCTGCAGCTACTCTTTAGCTTGTGGGGAAAAAAGTCATCGGCAGTGCTAAGTAGATGGGAGGGAGATCACAGCCCTGTCTGCTTCAGAGTAAAACACCAGCCCTGAAGCTGTTGGCTACTTCATTTTCAGAAATATGTTGATAACACGGGGCCTGGGAAATTTCAAATTATGACTGAAAGACCAGGACTTCTTAGGACAGAGAAGAAATGAGTAAGAGAAGACTTCATAGAAGCACAGCCTGAAATGAATAGGATCAATACAGGACATAGAAGCTTGGCTCTTTCCTGTCTTGATGTTTGAACACAGGGATAAGTAAGGAAATGGAAAGGGTGGAAAACTCAAATCTGAGGAGAAGAAATACTTTTTCATAGAGAAATTTAAAGTAAGTCTAGAAAGCATCTGGACATTAACGGGAGTAGACAGGAACCAAGTCCCGTTTATGCTTCACATGTTTTGACACTAACACATATTGTTTAAGTCCTGTTGTCAGCTCTGGGCTGACTGGTTACCCTCTTTGAATAATACAAGAATAAGATGACAATGCAATTTCAAAGGCAACATTTTGAATTATAAAATCCTTTTCCATACAGCACATAATTAACCTATGGAACTCATTCCCACAAGATTTAAATTGAGCTGAGACTCCTCTGTATCTGAAAAGGATTGGACATGTATTTATAAACTGGCCCAATTCCACTTGAGGCAAGGGTAGTAAATACTCAATTAGGTATTTGTAAATGATCCTTCTTAAATCCCTGTGGAGAACATGCCAACAGCCCTAAGGACCTCAGCAATGGGCACGTACAGAACGACTTCCCCAGGGGGTAGAAATTCTGCAGTGCTGCACCTTAACACTTGATTTCTCCTCAACAAAAGGTGTCGCTGATGCTTCAGCTCCAGTGCAGTTGGCAGCAGCGCCCTGGGGACTTGACCTGCAGCCCTGCCATGGGTGTGCACGGGTAACACCCAGTGATTGCACACCTGTAACACACGGTGACTGCACACCTGCTGTGGGTGTGCACAGGTAACACAGTGACTGCACACCTGCCGTGGGTGTGCACAGGTAAGGTACAATAACCACACACTTGCCTACTGTTGGGGCTTCCTCACGCCTGCTGAACCCACGGAGTGTTCGGATTCACAGTGGTTTTGCTCTCTAGCAGCTCGGGCAGGGTCAGGGCCCCTCCGTACCCGACGCTTTACAAACACTCATTTCGGCCGAGCCCTCAGTCCCGACCGTACGTTTGTCGTTCCGGGGGTGCCGGTAAAGACACCGCTCCACCCGGCCCCGGCGGGGAGCGACGGGGGGCGGCGCGGGGGGTTGCCCGCCGGTCCCGCCGTACCGGGCCGGCAGGTGGTGCAGCCGGTGCGCCCGGACCGGCCTCCTCGGGGCTCCTCCGGGATCACCGGGGCTCCTCGCAGCTTCTCCGGGATCACCGGCGCTGCTCGGGACTGCTCCGGGTCCTCCCGCCCCTCTCCAGCCCAGAGCCCTCAGGGACCCGCCACGCCCCATGGCGCCACCTGGCGGCGAATGTGGGGATCGGTCACACCGGGATGGAGGGATGGGATCGGTCACACCGGGATGGAGGGATGGGATCGGTCACACCGGGACTGGGAAGCTGGGACCGGTCACACCGGAATGGAGGGCTGGGATCGGTCGGTCATGCCGGGATGGAGGGCTGGGATTGGTCACACCGGGGTAGAGAAGCTGGGATCGGTCACGCTGGGATGGAATCGTTCACACCGGGATGGGGAAGCTGGGATCGGTCCCGCCAGGATGGGGGCGCTGTGGTTGGTCACATCGGGATGGACGGCTGGGATCGGTCACACCGACCTGGGGACTGGGGTCGGTCACACGGAGATGGGGTGCTGGGATCGGTCACACCGACCTGGGGACTGGGGTCGGTCACACGGAGATGGGGTGCTGGGATCGGTCACACCGACCTGGGGACTGGGGTCGGTCACACGGAGATGGGGTGCTGGGATCGGTCACACCGGGCTGGCGGCTTTGGCGTCGGAAGCTGCCCTGCTGCCCCGACTCCGAGAGCCGCTACTTCATGAGAAGAACAGAGAGCAGCGGGGACTGCCGAGGATACGGAACTTTCCACTCCCCTGCTCACCCAGCGCACGGGGGCCTGAACACGGACTCGTGGGTAGTGAAGTGAAATACCCCAAACCAGCCCAAAAGGCAAAGCAGCACGGGGAGCACGCTCACTCCAAGCAGATACTCACTTTGGAAGCGGAATGTTTTTCCAAAGAAGCTTCAGGCAAACATTCTTTGGCACAGAGATGGCCGTGGGAGATTCTCCCTCACTGACAGGAGCACAAACAGCCCCAGGGATGCCCGAAGGGGCCCAAGCATTGCACTGTGCCCACAGCTCAGCACCCCGGGATGAGGGCTCCTGTGTACATTTACCTACAGCTGGGGTGAAGTTCTTTGGGTAGGTCCCACTATTGCAGCCTGTGTGCCTCAAATGAGCTCCTGTAACACCCCGAGGTCCAAACATGGAGGCACTGTGGGATGTAGCAACAGGGACCACTCTGTAGGGCAGCGGCTGTGCTCTGCTTTCTGGCCAACTGCCCCTTTTTTAAACATTCAGGCTGCAAACCAGTGCTCATTGCTAGATCTCCAGGTATACTGAGAGGGATTCCTCATATCTGGGGTAAAAAAGCCAAGTTTTACCATAAAACAACCTGTATTTATTCATCTGAGCCTTAAAAGAACAGACACACTAAATGTTATTACAACATCCAGGCTTCGGCAACATCTAAAGCCTTTCTCTGTGTCTGTTTTCACCTACATGTGCTACAGCCTTTCCGGCCCACTCTCCTCCCAGCTGCCTGGGAGCTAACACTCCAGCTGGGGAGGCCAGACCGGCCACAGTCCCTCTGCAGGACTGTCTCCGTTTGCCTCTGCTGCTCCGTGGCAGAGGGATTGTGATGGGACTGGACTTCAGGAGAGAAGGGACGCATCCTCCTGCATCTTGACCATGGGGGAAGAAGTGGCTGAATTGCAATGGAAAACCCTGGGAGCTGTGGGCTTGTTAAATATGCTCAGTTCAGCTTCACCTATCAAAGGGAAAAGTCTAAGGGTCTTCCAGAGGGAGAAAAAGCAGTTCACCCTTACACCTTGGAACCCTATTAACTGCAAAGGCAGCCTCTGCTGGAAACACAGAGCACTGTCAGCAAAGCACAGGGGCTGAGGGGGCAAAGGAGACCTCAAAGCTGATGTTACTCTTAAGAAAGACAAAGCAGAGCCCAGCCAGCAGCAGAGAACCAAACCTAGAAAGGAAAGGTAACATGCAAACAAGCTAATTGAGGAGAAGTACTGGAAAACAGGGCAAGAGAGATGCAAATTTTACCATTTCTGCATCTGCAATTCATCTCTGCCTTCTAGGACACACTGACCTTCCCTGTACAAATCACCAGGAAGGAGCTTCTGTGCCTTTTGCGGAAGGGTTTTTTTACCTCAGGACAGAATTCACTTTCCCTTCACAAATATGGGCAAATTAAGCATTAGGCCCATCACCTCAGGCCCATCTTCC